TAGTCTCTTCTCCCCATCATTCTCTTCCTTCAGACCTTCAGCCTTCAGTGCCCCCTATTTCCTCTTGAACCTCTTCATTGCCCTACTGCACCAGACATTCCTGCCTCCTCATAATTCCTTGTATAGACCCTTAACGAATTTCACTTCAAATAATGGGAATTGGTGGCCATCTTTACTATGGACAGCCTTACTTCCACATGTAAATACTGTTAGGAAATGATGGAGAATTTGGAGTTGGGGCGGTGTGGCATCAACCCCATTGAAAATAAGCCATTTCGAATAAGGGAATATTCATAAAATACAATGTCCCTGGATGGACAGGTAATATGAATAAGCAGAGGCAAAATGCTCAAAGAACCACAGTTAGGGATTGTCTACACTACGAAATTAGGGCAAATTTATTAAAGTTGACATGTAGCCTCCGATTTTACAAAATCGATGCTGTATGTCCCCACTATGCACATTCCTTCGGCGGAACGCATCCCCACTACCCTGGATAGCATCAACTCACGGAGCGATGCACTGTGGGCAACTATCCCATAGTTCCTTTTGCCAATTGGAATTCTGGGTTAGGCTCCCAATGCCTGATGGGACAAAAACATTTTCATGAGGTGTTTTGGGTATATACCGTCAGCCTCCCATAATGCACTTGGTGCCCCTCCTCCCTCCCTCCCTCCCTCCCTGAAAGCAACGACAAACAATAATTTTCATGCTTAAGCCTGGGTTACTCATGCAGACGCCATAGCACAGCAAGAATGTGATGCCATGCTGGAAGCCATGGAATGGAGCAATTCGCACATGCTGGCAGCAGTAGCTGGGCTTGTTGACACAGTGGAATGCCACCTCTGGGCCCGGGAAACAAACATAGACTAGTGGGATCGCATCATTATGCAGGTATGAGATGAGGAGCAGTGGCTGCATAACTTTCAAATGCGTAAAGTCACTTTCATGGAACTTTTTGAATTGCTTTCCCCAGCCCTGAAGCGCAGAAATACCAAATGAGGCCTGCTCTGACAATTGAGAAACGAGTGGCGATAGCTCTGTGGAAGCTTGTAACGCCAGATTGCTACCGGTCAGTTGGGAATCACTTTGGAGTGGGTAACTCTACCGTGGGGCTGCTGTGATCCAAGAAGCCGGGGCAATCAATTCACTTCTGCTAAGAAGGGTAGTGACTCTGGGAAACGTGCAGGACATAATGGATGGCTTTGCTGTGATGGGGTTCCGTAACTGTGGTGGGGCAATAGACAGAACGCACATCCCTATCTTGGTACCAGACCACCTGGAAGGGCTACTTCTCAATGGTGTTGCAAGCGCTAGTGGATCACAGGGGCCATTTCACCGACATCAACGTGGGATGGTCGGAAAAGGTACATGACATACATCTTTAGGAAATCCGATCCCTTCAGAAAGATGCAAGAAGGAACTTTCTTCCCAGACCGGAAAATTACCGTTGGTGACGTTGAAATGCCAATAGTTATCCTTGGGGACCCAGCCTACCCCTTGCTCCCATGGCTCATGAAGCTGTACACGGGCAGCCTGGACAGCAGTAAGGATCAGTTCAACCATAGGCTGAGCAAGTGCAGAATGATGACAGAGTATGCCTTTGGATGTCTAAAGGGGCGCTGTCATAGTTTACTGACTAGGTTAGACCTCAGCAAAAGCAATATTCCCATTGTTGTTGCTGCTTGCTGTGTTCTACATAATATATGTGAAAGTAATGTGGGCGGGGGGAGTTTCTGGCAGGGTGGAGGGGTGGGGCAGATCACCTGGCTGCCAATTATGAGCAGCCAGACACCAAGGCAATAAGAGGAGCACATCAAGGTGCACTGTGTCGCCGAGAGGCTTTGAAAACCAGTTTCATGAATGATCCAACACTGATGTGACAATTCTGTGCGTTGTTCCTTACCAACCTGCCCCCTTTTCTGCATGTACTGCCCTGTAAACTAAACCCCCACCAACCAGTGTGCACAGTGAATAAAGAGCCTCTTGTCCTCAATTCATGCATTTTTATTATGCTAACAAACACTGAACAGAGATAACAATGAATAGCAATGATAACCAGATCAGAGCCTGATAACACAGGACGGGAGGGGCAAGAACACATAGCTTATTACAATTGCACTGTCTAGCAATCAAAGCCGTGGGAATGGGAACTTTCTGTTCTATGAATCATCCCCTGGAGTTGAGCTCAAGGGATAACAGAGTCCACCCCCCACATTCTAGGACATCTGGGAGAGGAGGATATGGAACTGGGTGAGGAGGGCAGCTGGTTCATCATTGGGTGCAGTGAGACTCTAAGGTCCAGCTTAGATTCCAAGCAGATTGCTAAAAGGTGGCTTTTCTGAAGACGATCGTTCTGATATTGGGGATATTGTGTGGATATGCAAGTGAAAGTATCTTACCTGGAATCAAATGCCACAAATAACACTACTCTACAGCCAAAATGCTTCTGAAATAAATGTAGTCAAACTTTACTAATTCTGGGTCACTGAGAACGAAAATGATGCTTAAAATTGTTGATTGTCTCTAGTTTTCAAGATATGCTATTGGGTCAGTAATACGACCCTTGACTTGGGAATGGCGGAGGATATGTGAGTTATAAAGGGAAGGGATCTCAATTTAAACCAGAAATGACTAAAATACATCTTTGACTGGATCTATGACTAAATCTATGACTGGGTTTGGACAGTACTTGCTTTTTAGGCAAAACAATGAATGATGTAATCTGAAACTGGTATTGCGTCATACATGATATGAATTGCATCATGCTATTCCTAGAAGTCATGGATGATGCAATCATAATGAAGCTTACATTACTCTGCTGAACAAATTGCCCTATATCAGCTCTAGAAATCATACAGTGTCATGCTCTCTTATTTATCACTGTCTGATTTTGCAAAGGGACACATTTCTGTTTAGCCAAAGTGACCAGAGATGCCTTGTACTTGTGTGAACAGTGCAGATAACTTCTGCTATGTTTGTCGTGAAGTGACTTTTGCATCACAAAAGCGCAGCATAACCACTATGGTTAAGAAAGCCTATCACCTTTATTTTGGCTGCAAAATTGGAGATCAGGACAAGAGGTGGGCCCCACACATATGCTGCAACACTTGTGCAACAAATCTTCGCCAGTGGTTGAGCAGGAAAAGGAAATCTATGCCTTTTGCAGTGCCAATGATTTGGAGAGAGTCAACAGATCATGCCAGCAATTGTTACTTCTGCATGGTGCCTCCAGTTGGGAAAGGTGTGTCAAAGAAGAAAAAGTGGACTGTGCATTATCCAAACATTCCATCAGCTATACGCCCAGTACCCCACAGAGAAGGACTGCCGGTTCCTGATGCACCAGAATCATTCTCACTTGAGTCAGACGAGGAAGAGGAAGAATATGAAACTTCTGGTCCTGAACCATCAATGTCACAGGACCCTCATTTTCTCCCATCCTCCTCCTCTGAACCACACCTCATAACACAAGGTGAACTGAATGACCTTGTCAGGGATTTGGAACTACCCAAGAGTAAGGCAAAGCTCTTGGGCTTCAGACTACAGCAG